GGCCTCCCAAAGTGCTGGGATTACAGGCTTGAGCCACCGTGCCCGGCTTCATTAGCATTTTTATTATAACAGACCCTTTATTGAATATTTGTAGTTTACTGCATGATACAGTCAGTAGTCCCCCCTTACTCAGGGTTTGGCTTTTCTCAGTTTCAGTTACCCACAGTCAACCATAGTCAAAAAATATTAAATGGAAAAATTCCAGAAATAAACAATTCCTAAGTTTTTAGTTGCATTCCATTCTGAGTAGCATAACAAAATCTCACACTAACCACTCCACCCCACCTGGGATGTGATAGTCTTTCTCCAGCATGTCAACACTGTATATACTACCCGATTATCAGATCAAAATAACATAGTATCTATAGGGTTTCATACTGTCTGAGGTTTTCAGGCATCCACTGAGGGTCTTGGAATGTATTCCCCTTGGGTAAGGGGGACTCCTGTACTCCATCTGATGGATATGTTATACTTAATAATGATTATATTTAGATAAGCTATACTTTTAAATATACTATATTTAGAATTTACATTACAAAAAATCTCTAAAGCTACCGATGTCCAATATTCTAGTATAGCAATATGTGGATATTGAGCACTTGAATTGGGGCTAGTCCAAATTCACATGTGCTGTAAATGTAACATATATGCCAGATACCAGATAGTGAAGACTTTAGAAGAAAAAAAATAAGGTAAAACATATTGATAACTTATACGTTTTTTATTTTATCTTGGCTTTGAGACAGGGTCTCACTCTTTCATCTAGGTTGGATTGGCATGGCACAATCAAAGCCCATTTATTGATCACAGCTCGCTGCAGTCTTGAACTCCTGGGTTCAAGCAATTCTCCCACCGCAGCCTCCCAAATAGCTGAGACCACAGGCATATGCCACCATATCTGGCTAGTTTTTGTTTCGTTTTGTTTTTGTAGAGATGGGATGTTGTCAAGTTGCTCAGGCTTGTCTCAAACTCCTGGGCTCAAGTAGTCCTCCTGCCTCAGCCTTCCAATTCCAAATTGCTGAGATTATAGGCATGAGCTACCACTGTCAAGGCCCGGCCATGACTTTTATATTATACTTTGAAATAATATTTTGGCCATATTGGGTTAAATAAAAGACATTAAAATTAAATGCATGTGTTTCTTTTCACTTTTTAAAAATGTGATTACTGAAGTATTTGTTTAAAATATTTACTAAAACATGTGCCTTGCATATTAGTCTGTACTTTTAAAATATGACTACTAGAAAATTTTAAATTACATATGTAGCTTGAATTACAATTCTTTTGGACAGTGCTATTTTAATCCTAAGAACTTGATTAACTGCCCACTTCTAGGAACTTCATCTCTGCCCCAGCTCTGCTCTAGACAGATAAGGAGCACATAGGAGATACTAAATGATTTGGTCAATGCAAACATGGATACTGATATGACTTGGCTGTGGCCCCACCCAAATCTCATCTTGAATTGTAGCACCCATAATTCCCATGTGTTGTGGGAGGGACCCAGTGGGAGACAATTGAATCATGGGGACAATGTGGTAAGTCTCACGGGAGCTGATGACTTCATAAGGGGTTTTCCCTTTCACTTGGCATTCATTCACTCTTTGCCTGCCACCATGTAAGATGCGCCTTTCACCTTCAGCCGTGATTGTGAGGCCTCCCCCGCCATGTGGAACTGTGAGTCCATTAAACCTCTTTTTTTTAATAAATTACCCAGTCTCAGCAATGTCTTTATCACTAGCGTGAAAATGGACTAACACAGATACGGATGGAGAAGACAGGGGTACTTAGGAATCTGGCTGGTTCCATTCCTCACTGGAATGGGAAATACTGGGGAGCAGCTGTTGAATGGGACTCTGTTAGAAAGTTGTAGAATAACAAATGAGAATGTTCACATAACCTGAAAAAAAATGAAAGAATTCCAAGTAGACAGAAATTCCAACTTACACGAGCCATGATTTTAGAATTGCAAGAACCGGTCAATTTTCCTCAAGGTTCATTTACTTCAGATGCAGGTCCAGAGATGCTAGAGCTGGAGAAAGAATGTGTAAAATCATGAGAAGAAAATTGCCTCAGAGTTTCCAAATTTTAAATACCAATACTACTTCTCTATTCCTAGATGCAACTCCCACCCCCAACACACAGACAAATTTTGATAGGTAAGAGGTAGTTTAGACAAATATGTCCTCCCCAAAACCACAGAGAAATCAGCTCAACTGCACAAGGAATTGCAGAGGAGAGACTCTGCAGCATCAAAGCACATGACTAGACACTAGAGTGGGAGGGCTTCCAGTTGGTCCCCAGCTGTGACCCGAGGGCAGGCTGGTTTGGAACAAGAATGGGTTGTGCAGACCTGTCCTGAACTGATCCTCCTCCCTCCATCCTCACCTTCCCAGGTGAAAAGGGGCTACACCATCTAAACCAGAACTTCTTTCTTGGCCTTAGGAATCTGGCTGGCCTCCCCAAATATGAAAACAGAAAATAGCATAGACAAGAATTTCCCAAACTTTGCTCAAATTGGAATCACCTGGATATCTTTAAACTGTTGCCTGGCTCCTATCCTTAAACACCCTGATTTAATTAGTGTGATGTGGGATTTAGGATTTTAACTACCCACTTCTCTCATGGATGTTTACAATGGGCAACAAAGTTTGGCAGTCAAACTTTAGTACGCATCAGAATCACGTGGAGGGCTTGTTAAAACACAGCTTGCTAGGTCTAACTCCCAGAGTTTGGTATTCAGCAGGTTTGGAATTAGGCTTGAAAATTTGCATTTCTAAAAAGTTTCCAAGTGATGCTGATGCTGCTGGTCGAGATGTCACACTTAAGAGAACTACAGCTATAAAACACCTGTAGAAAGGCTATATAACAGGCTTTATTATGGCAAAACTGTAGTGCACATTGGGATCCCTTTCCCCAGTCTTAAATACCATTCTCAGAGCTCTCTGCTCCTTATTTTCCTATTCAGGATCATCAATATTGCCTGCATGATCTCAATTACCAACCAGTATTTCTTGGTACTCAGACTTAAAGAAGGAAATTTGTGAAACCTGAGCATGAGTAATGTTCTAGAAAGTAGAAATAAGCTAGTTGCAGTAGCTCATGCCTGTAGTTCCAGAACTTTGGGATGCCCAGATGGGAGGATTGCTTGATGCCAGGAATAGAAGACCATCTTGGACAACATAGTAAGATCTTGTCTCTAAAAAAATATTTCTTTTAATTAGCTGGGTGTGTTGGCACCTGCCTGTATCCCTAGGTACTTGGGAGACTGAGGCAGGAGAATTGTTTGAGCCCAGGAATTCAGTTTCAGTGAGTTATGCTTTCCACTGCACTTCAGCCTGTCTCTTAAAAAAAAAAAAAAAGAACAAAATAGGAAAAAGAACCTATCAACGTATCAGTTAAAATCTACTAGTAACTAAGGAGAGCATATTGAAGGAACTAGATTAGCTGATTTGAAAAAGTTATTACACCTCATAGTTGCTAAAGTGTTGGGGAAATGGATACTCAATGATATAATGTAGAAAGAATGAAATAGTATGTGGATAGAAGTGTTTAAAATAGGACTGAAAAAGCTGGAAAGAACCTAAATATCCTTAAGCAATGTTAAATAAATTATCATGCATTCACACAATGGAAAATTCAACAGCCAAGTGCAGTGGTTCACACCTGTAATCCCAGCACTTTGGGAGGCCAAGGCAGGTGATCACTTAATAAGTCCAAGAGTTTGAGACTAGCCTGGCCAACATGGAAAAACCCTATCTCTACCAAAAATACAAAAAATTAGCCAGGCATGGTGGTGAACGCCTGTGGACCCAGCTCCCTGGGAGGCTTAGGTGGGAGAATTGCCAAAGCCCAGGAGGTTGAGGCTGCAGTGGGCCCTGTTCATGCCACTGCATTCCAGCCTGGGCAACAGAGCAATACCCTGTCTTAAAGAAAAGAAAAATAAACATCCATAAAAATGAAGTTAAAATTCATATTTGATGTCATGAGAAGACAGCCACTACATATTGTTGGGGGAAGAAGATAGGTTAGAAACTCTTCTACATACAAAATACAAAATGATTGTATTTTGGCAGGAAAACTACATACACATGCATACATGTATATGCATGTGCATAAAACAATCTGTGAACTGGAATAAAATGTTATTGTTACCTATACTTGATGGTATCCCAGTCCTAGGTGGTCTTTATTTGTTCCTCCCTGGAGTCTTTGTTTTTTTTTGTTTTTTGAGATAGGGCTTCAGTCTGACACCCAGGCTGAAGTGCAGTCTCGGATCTCCACTCACTGCGACCCTCATTTCCAGGGCTCAAGTGATCCTACTACCTCAGCCTTCTGAGTAGCTGGGCCTAAAGGCACATGTCACCACCCTGGCTAATTTTTGTAGTTTTTGCAGCCATGCAGTCTATGTTGCCCAGCCTGGTCTCAAACTCCTGGACTCAAGTGATCTACCTGCTTCCACCTCCCAAAGTGCTGGGATTATAAGCTTGAGCCCCTGTACCTGGCCTGAATTTTTTAATTAAAAATTTATATCACTTACACCTCAACACAAATTCAAAATAGCTATGCAAGGAATATCACAAAAAGCTCCAACAGTCCCATCCCTGCTACTCTGCCCCTATCTTGCAAATCTAGAGGCAACAATTTTTAACTCTATTAGCTGCTCCTTTTGGTATTTAAACTCCATACATTTAAAAAACATGTTAATATTTCTATTTCTAAATTTTCAGTTGTAATCATTAATTCACTTTCTACTATGGCAGCCATGGTTTTAGCTATCTTTCACCTACCCACCTCCCAACCACATATACATAGTTGTAGTGTCTTTTCAATATGGTTTTATTCTTTTTTTTTTTTTTTTTTTTTTTTTT